GTTGAGTGGCAGTAAGGGAACACGGTATTGCGTGGTTGCAAGAGCTGATGGGAGCCCCGGGGCCTTCGGGTGGGCCCGTGGTGGGTTTGGAGTGATGGCCTGCGCAAAGGATGAGGCCCCCACAACGTCTAAGTCCCGGTTCGGCACCGGCATGGAGGAGCCCATCCCCAGGAGCTGATCCAGCAGCAGACGATTCTGGAGCAGGCCGCATGGTCGAGGCGGCGATTGGCGGTTTTGGAGCTGGGTCGGAGGTGTTGACTACGGAGGCCCCTGACAGGCGGTCTACGGCAGGTGGTGTTGCTGGAGCAGGTCGGGGGTGGGAGGCAGCATGTCTGCGTCATCGAGGTCGGGCTGCAACCCCGTCGGATGGCGGCTGATGGGAAAAGTCGGGTGCGGAAAGCGGCTGGCACTGGCGAAGTCGGGAGTGCCGTCAGGCTTGCAACTGACGATGGAGACGCCCCCCTTGGGCCTTATATCCAATGGGAGTGTGGGGCAGGACGTGGGTGCCCAGGGGCACGGAAGGGAACGGGCCGCGTGGGGTCCAGGCAGCAGGAGGGAATCTGGTACGGCCCCGGCTGGTGCCAGGGCAGATGCGGTGGAGTCCACAGTCATGGGTGGGGCTAAGGCAGTGCGGGCAGGCATACGGCTGCATGGAGCCAGACTGGAGGAGTCATGCTGTCAGGGAGCGCAGGGAGCACCGCTCTAGAATAGAATACAGTGGGTCACCGGGTGTCCCAGGCCAGGCCAATCTTCGGAGAAGTACCAGGGATAGGACCAGGCGCAGAGAGGATAGGCCATCCACAGCGGATCAGCGCAGCAGGGTTAGGACCCCTTCTAGGAGGCATTGCAGCAGGGGGTGTTCAACATCATTCGAGGATAGGGCAAGGAGCCGGAGCAGGGCTTACAGGTCACCTGACAGGAGGTATCAGAAGGATAGGCCTACCCCGTATGGCCAGTCGGGCCAGGCAGCTGGATGTTTTGATGATATAGACCATGGTCAGGAACGTGGGGAGGCTGGACGGGTGAGGGCTCCTAAGAGCTGACTACCCAGGTTGTCTTCTCCCCGCAGGTCAGCAACTCCTTCTTCTACGGTCCTGAGGCAGGACCAGGTGGCTGGATGCAGAAGTTATGATGCTACTCCTGAACCTCTCGAGGTGGATGGAAGGACGGTGGCTCCACGGTCTTCGACGACAGGGGGTCCTGGAGGTGAGTCTTCTTCTGCAGTACACTCTGGAAATCTCTTGGATAGCATGAGATCTTTTCTTTTGGGCTGGCGCAGATACACAGGAGTCACAATTTAGTTGGTTGTGGGGTCTGCTGCCAGGTGGGAGTGGCTGTGACATTTTAGCCATTTTTTTGGTGAAGGCTACTTGTGGAGTTCGGTCTCTGCGTCACTTTGTCAGAGGTTCGTGGGCCATGAAAGTAGATCTGTGGGTCTGGGAATCATTTCTGCATGATTTCAACGGACGGGTCTTCTTTCGTGAAGCAGCAGCTTCTTCTGAGGATATTGAGTTGTTCATGGATGCTTCATAGATTTTGGGGCATATTTGGAGGGCAGGTGGTGCGCTGAGCAGTGGCCTGAGGCTTGGAAAGCAAGTCCTCTCATTTGTAATTTGGCGTTTCTTGAGTTGTCCCCATTGCTGGCAGAAGGGGAGTGCTGTTCTGTGCGCTCTCCTCTCCTGGTCACTCGGTCCGCATTGGGGGTTGATTAGAGGCTTGGGGAACCCTAACTACCCTAAGAGGGTTTGGGATATGGACAATGGCTCAATTTTTTGTGGGTGAGTGGTCAATGATATGTCCACTTGTATTTTATTAGTAGCACCCCCATCTCCCATAGTTGGAGGGCTATGGAAGACATTAGGTCACCCTCCTTGTTTTTATAACATTAACAGCTCCTACTCACTGCCTATGGTCCCCCCTTTTATTGTAATAACTAGCCCCAACCAACTGACCATGTGGGACATCCTATTGTCCCCTCCCCCCTTTAATATAAATGTAATATCTCCTACTCGCTGACAATGGATGGGAGCAGGATGGTGGACAGTGATCTGTGCAAGGCTTGCAAGGACCTGTCTCTGGTTTCCCCCCTTTATTTTATAGGCCTTTCTCACGACTGGGCAGCAATGACAGTCACTAGTTTCGTGTTACAGTTTTGAGTTACTGGTTATTAGATATGCACCCAGGGTGGCTTAAATATGAAATGAGAAAACATATATATTGTTGGGTAAATCATTTATTATTCATTTAGGCATATCAGTCCACATTCATCATTTAACTATGAGAGAACTTCACTGGGAAAATATTACTATCTCTGATCTGGATTGATGCTGAGATTTTTTTTAGGAACCGTTTAACTTCAGTTTAATTTCTTCCAATGAAACTATTAGTAATCCGCCATTCTTCTTTTCCAAAACAGTGGTTAAAAGTCCAATTGAACTGAATCCTTCTGCTCATATCACATCGAATAAAATGGGATGTTACAAGATTCCTTCAATGAGAAAGCTAAAAAACCTAATCTAGACCAAGATTTTCATGCTGTTCTAGTGCTTCAGGAAAGAGCCATAAATGGCAGCCACATTATCAGCCATATTGTTACGGAAATAGAGCCACCAAATTTTGTGCTTTAAGTAAGGCTTTAAAATAAACCCAACAACTTGATTTATCTTACACGCATGAATCCTTTTTTACTTTTTATAGTGCTTTTTTTTTTTTTATCCAATGCCCCATTTGTTGGCAGTGACCTTAACAGCTTAATTAAAAACTAATGCACTGTGAGAGTATGTATCCGCTAGCACTCCCAGGGCTCTGAAGCTTGACAAAAAGAGTCCCATTTCAGCTTTCCCTCCTCTCAAGCACTTTTTTTCTCAGCAACATTAATGTTTCTAATAACATCGGAATAGATTTGACCTTGTGTATTAATCTTGAATGCTGTAAACGCTAAAATAACTAGTTCTCTGCTGAATTATCTCTTCACTCCATGCTTCTTTTTCATTATCTTTTCAGTTGTCAATCATGCAATCTTACAGAGCAACATGTTTGTCTGGTCCAACCTCATGTTCTACACATGTTTACCTGGTGTTCAACTGCATACACATTCGGGGGTGGTAGTTGTATGTTCTGCTCTCTGTTGATGGTAGACTTGTAGTCCGATGAAATAAAAATTAGGATGCCTATTTATTCTGCTGGTTGGGGATTTATTTGAGTTTGGTCATCTGGTCGCCAAAAACAGCTCCAGCTTAGAATGCAAAATTAACTTGGCATTCCTTTTAAAGTTAATTTTAGCTGTTCTTTTTTGGCCATACTTAGTGCCAGCCATCTTAGCAATTCACAAAAATTATGTTATACTCATCATTTAAACTGCAATCTGTATACTGTCCTTAAAGTTATCTAAACAAAACATAAAAGAGGTATTAATTAGGCTTAATTTAGGTCCTAAGCCAAGAAAACATTATCCAAGAGCCTTCATAAACCAATCACAACTAAGTGTGTTTACCAACTTGTCTAACTTCTGAAATATTAGAGTTGGACAATTCATACCTCAAAACATTGGCTGGTATGATATCAGAATGGATGGGTGGGTGGGCCTTATGGGCGCATCATCAGTGACTCAACTTACATAACTGATGACACCCATAATGGATGGGCTCCTCTGGGAAGTTGGCGGACCTGTCCTCTGAAGGGGCATGTCAACCTGGTGTCAAGCAAACTAGGCCAACAGCTTCCTGGCAGGCCTCCAAGTTACAGGACCAGGCAGAGAAAGTGGGACATTTGTGATCCCTCGCCATCTGGGGCTCACACTAGACAGAAACCCCCCCCAAAAACTATATAAAATCTTACATCTATAGGCTCAGGGGTGGAGGCCAGGGGGAGGACATTAGGTCACCCCCCCTTATTCTAATTTAGGGCCCCCACCCGCCGCTCAGGGGTGGGGGCCAGGGGGGAGGACATTATGTCCCCCCCCAATTTTTATTTAGGGCCCCCACCCACTGCTCAGGGGGGAGGACATTAGGTCCCCCCCAACTGGTATTTAGGGCCCCCACCCACTGCTCAGGGGTGAGGGCCAGGGGGGAGGACATTAGGCCCCCCCATTTTTATTTAGGGCCCCCACCCACTGCTCAGGTCCCCCCACCTTATTCTAATTTAGGACAATAGGTCCCCCCCTTATTGGTATTTAGGGCCCCCACCCACCACTCAGGGGTGGGGGCAGAGGGGGAGGACAATAGGTGTCCCCCCCCCATTATTTTACAGCCCCCACCTGCCGCTCAGGGGTGGAGGGCAATAGGTCCCCCATTTAGATTAAAAGCCCCCACTCGCACATCACGAGTGGGGGCTCAGGAGGGGGGCCCCGTTTAAAAAAAAAAAAATTTAACAGTGAGCAGCCACAGGTTGCTCAATGTTTAATAGACATGCCCCTACATAGAGGCTGGGTCACATGCTGCACTGGCCAACCACAGCCATGCCATTAGTAGGCATGGCTGTGATGGCTTCTAAGGGCACACTAGTCAAACGCTTGTTGATTGGCAGCCCTGCAGCTTTTCAAAACGCGCCATTAAATCGCCGAACACCAAACTCGAACTTGAACTGTTACTGAAATGTCCAGGATGGCTTCAGGGTCGAAAAATCGTACAGTTCGGGTTCGCTCAACTCTATTGCTGATGATTTTAGCCAATCAGATGCTTTTTTTATAGAAAGGAATTAGGAGGCTACTATGTATCGGAAACTACTGGTGAGTGTGTGTCAGCAACTAGATGAGGCCCTGGGGACAAAGCGCAGCTAAGCGGACAAGGGCACATGTAGGAGTGTGGGGATAGATGCGGGGGAGTGGTTTAGGAAGTATGTGTAGGTGGGATTAAGTTTCTATGTAGTTAGTGGGGGGAGTGGTCTTACTTCAGTGCCACTTGGGAACCGGGCCAGCAGACAGCTTCCCGCCCGCCCACCCCTTTTTTTGGTAGTTAGTTGCAGCTAGCTGGGGGTATGTCCTTGCCAATTAAGTTTGTGGGGTTATGTTTTATGGTTGGAGGAAGTTAATAAGTTGGCAAGTGTCAACCTCCCCTGCTTTAAACGGTTAACTTTAGGTTGCCTGAGGTATCGTGCCCATTGAGCGTGGATAAGGTCGGCTGATGGCGGGCATTGGAATGGTATGATTTATGACGAGGGGGGAGGTGAGAGGAAGTGGTGATTAGGAACCACGGTATGTTTATTGGCAAGGACGGTTGGGTTACTGTATAACACTGTGTGTTGTTATATATGTATATATGTTAATTTATGCTTATTTATGTTTAACAATTTTGGTTACAGAAAGAAGATTTTAAATAAATAGTTATGTATATGTTATGCAGTATTTATTTACTTATGTTATAATAAATGCTGTGGCCTGTTTCATCCATACTAAGTTGTCTGTCGTTATTGGGAGGGTTTAATGGGGTTAATGTATGTATTAGATAGCATTGGAAAATTCCCCACTACGTACATACATGTTTTTGCAGCTCAATGTAAATATTGCCCTTTCTCGGAGAGAGAGAGAGAGCAGTGTCTATAACTGAGAGACTGCATGGACAGTCTTTTTGCACCAGAATCGCTATATTAAAGGGATATGCATCACTTGGCAATTATATTTTTTAAACCAGCAAGCAAACATTTTAAAACAAACATACAAACCAAAATGAAGCAGGAAAAGTATGAAAAGTATGTAATAAACATTTACAAACTTACTATAAACTAGGCCAACTTGCATTAATGGGCACACCTCTGAGCTAGGAGAGTTTCTTCATCCTCCCCCTCCTACCCTCTTACCCACCCTTCTCAGTTTTAGACTAATTCACCAATGTTAGAAACAGGGCATCATTGTGCAGCAGTAGAAGAGAGGAACGTGTCACTGCATCCAGCTCTACATGATCACATTGATCAGACTCACTCTCTACTCCCCCTGTCAGCGTGTTGCAGGGTGAAGAACTCTTATAGCTGCACATGTGTAAATCTGTCAGGTATGCCCAATTCCTTTTTATAGCATTCCTAGGGATAGGACACTGATTAGTTAGATCAGTGTGTCCCCCTGGAGTGTGTGTGGAAAACATAAGCAAGAAGAAGCAGGTGACAAATCATATTTAACTGCCAATTTCAGGCTGTAGAGTGAGGCAACTGTCTCATTCAAAGCAAATCTTTTGAATGAGCAGTTGTGTCAAAGTGATGCATGTCCCTTAGGCTGAAGTGGTTCTGGTACTTAGAGTGTCGCTAGTGCAGACAATATTAATACTGATGAACCCAATGAGAAGGTGGAAGCATTAACCTTAATACTCCTAATTAACACCAGATAAAGGTATTGTCATGTGGTCCTTGTCATGTGCCCCAGTCTTCCACGATGCCAAAATAGCAGTCTACGCAGGTGGTTGTAAAAAAAAAAAAAAAAATGTAAGTACAACTAGAACACCTACAACTCCTGATACTTTGTTAAACTTAAAGGACCACTCTAGGCACCCAGACCACTTCAGCTTAATGAAGTGGTCTGGGTGCCAGGTCCAGCTAGGGTTAACCCATTTTTTTTTTTATAAACATAGCAGTTTCAGAGCTATGTTTATAAATGGGTTAATCCAGCCCTCAAAGCCTCTAGTGGCTGTCTCATTGACAGCCGCTAGAGGCGCTTGTGTGATTCTCACTGTGAAAATCATAGTGAGAACACGCAAGCGTCCATAGGAAAGCATTGTAAATGCTTTCCTATGAGACCGGCTGAATGCGCGCGCAGCTCTTGCCGCGCGTGCGCATTCAGCCGAATGGGAGGAACGGAGGAGGATCGGAGGAGGAGAGCTCCCCGTCCAGCGCTGGAGAAAGGTAAGTTTTAACCCCTTTCCTCTCCCCAGAGCCAGGCGGGAGGGGGACCCTGAGGGTGGGGGCACCCTCAGGGCACTATAGTGTATAGAGTATGTTTTCCTGGCACTATAGTGGTCCTTTAAGGCCTTAAGGCATTAAGGAATCATTGAAGTTGCAGTTTTATCACAGTTGGAGGGTGGGGGGAGCAGAAGGCTGCTTTTTGATTGCCATTGGTCTGAAATATTTCTGATTAAAAATACACATGTAAGTTAAACCTGAACTTTGATGCAGAGGTCATGACACCACAATTTGGAATATGCACACATCTGTCCAATAAAACAATAAAAGACACAAGTTAAAAGGATGGAAAATATTTACTTTGGATGAGAGAGTGAAGAAAAACAAAAACAAAAGACAGAGTGCAAAAAAGAGCAATTGGAGGGGAATATAAAGAAATTGTGTGCAAATGTGATTACATAAACAAGTTAAGCATTAACTGGAAGGAAATAAGAAGAGGAGAGGAAAAGTATGAAAGGAGAAGCAAAAGCAGAGGGGGGAAAAACCCACCGCCATGTCAAGGAGGAAGGGAAATAAGGAAGTTCATAAACAAACCAATAACGAGAAGGAAATCAGAGATCTCAGATCAATAGGAAAGAGGACAAATTTGGGAAATCAAGTAGACCAGTGGAAGACGCAGGAGAGCAGGCCTTCCAAGATTTCAATAAGCTCGGTCCCACCTGCAGAGACCCTGTGCCTGAGTGAAATGGAGTCCACCGTATTCCACCATGCCACCCAGGGCCCAAAATACCTACGTAAAAGAGTCTGTGCCTCAGGAGAGCACAAGTGATACAGTAAATAAAACCAGCGGGTTGTTTAAAGGGACACTGTAGGCACCCAGACCACTTAAGCTCATTGAGGTGGTCTGGGTGCTGTGACCATTTTGCACTTAGTTCTGCAATGTTAAACTTTGCAGTTCCGGAGAACTGCAATGTTTACATTGCAGCTCTAAGTCTGCTCCTAGTGGCTGTCTGCCAGACAGTCACTGGGGCGCTTCTGGGATTCTAACGGACTTTTCGTCCATTATCTGACGCTGGACGTCCTCACAGACCTCCAGCGTCAGATGTTCCCCATAGGAAAGCATTGAATAATGCATTAGGTCTCCCCTGCCGGCTGACGTCGGCAGGGGAGGAGTGTGGGTGGAACCTGGCCCAGTGCCGAGGGACATTGGCGCTGGATTCAGGTAAGTGGTTGAAGGGGTTTTAACCCCATGAGCCCCGCGGCAGGGGGGACCTATTAACCATATAGTGCCAGGAAAACTGGTTCGGAAATTGGCCATTTTCACCGTTGTGTAGTATATAACTCTCTAAGTATTGTTCAAAGCATCTTTATGTATATGTATGGAAGTGTCTGACCTTTTATGGCAGATGCCCCCCATACCACGCAGCAGCAGTACCATCTCCCCACACAAGCTGCGGAGTAAAAAAATCACATTCTTTTTCTGGAGGTGAGATGACTAATGTTTATGCCCTTCTTATTACTGCACTATTAATCATGTTGTTAGTAAAATATGTTACATATAATTAATTCCAGTCCTCGTCTTTCTTTAAACCATTTTGAACAAAAAATAAAGTTAAGAGAGCACTTTTAAGTCAATACTTCAAAGTGGAAGTCAAAAAAGAAAAGCCTTTCTAATCTTTCAATATAACTGGATTGTTGTCCCAAAGTTCTGAGCAAACTGCTAGCAGCTCACAGGAGGAGGATCAAAAGAGTGCCCCTTATCTGATCCAAGGGCAAATGGAGCACATACCACATGATCCGAAAAGAAAGCCTGGATACAAATTGCCAAGCTTAACATGGGAGAAAAAAAAGCAAAAACAAGAACCTCCAACATATTGTTTTCTATTTTTCCTTCCCCAGGAATAACACAGACACTTGCTGAGAAATGCTACTATGGCCAGCACAGCACTGAAGACAGTAAAAAATGAGGAGTGGTGCAGGACATCTGTAAATTCTATTCTGCAGAAATTATTTAAATCAAACCTAAAGCATGCGTTTGCCAAAAATACCAATTTATATCGATCAAATTGGGTGTTCCACGGTCTTTTAACCTGCACTGGAAGTTAATGAGAATATTTTACAAGTGGCAGTTTATATGTTTTTTTTTTTTTCAAAGGGAATCCTTAGAAGAATGACTGCAATTACCGGACTTGTCAAATAATATATTATTTTAAACTTCAGCTCTACGAAGTAATTATACTGATGTGCTCGGCCACTCTGTATTTCACCTTCCCTTACACTGAACGCCAGTTTTCTAATAGTCTAGCTTTTCAATATCTTTCGGCAGAGCTTTCCAGGGTAAATTCCCTTCAGCATCACAATGTCTAAGAGGCGGGCAATAAACTGGTCTGGGGCATGCTAAATGTAACCCTGTAAAAAGCTAAGAAATAGCAAGGGAGTCACTATCTGCGAATCTCGGGGTCACCTGATGCAGGAGAAATGGACGATAAAAACAAGCATGTTCCAAAATTATGTAGAATATTCCATTTGTGGCTTGCTGCAGTCAGGGAGGGAGCAGAATTTTAATCAGAGAGACTGCAGTGACAGACTGCAATGTGCCTAGTATTATACTGTCCAAATAAATCATATTAACACAGCCAGACGCTCTGTGCACAGAGCAGCTTAAAGCTGTCAGCGCTGAGTCTGGCCAGGGGAATGGAGCTGCTGGGGAGTGGGGAAGGGAGAAAGTAAAACGAGAGTGGAAAAGAAAGAGAGCGGGGAAAACAAAGAAATATAAAGGCAAATAAAAAGAAAGGATCCAAGGTACAAGGAAGCAGATTGATTTTGGAAATTGGAAGGCTTGTTTTTAAGGAAGAGGGCGTTAAAGTGAAATAAAGATGATGATAGAAACAAATGAACAATGTAATGTAATGGTGTTAACTATATGAACATAGAACATTTAGTGTTTTCTGTTTTTGTTATTGGAGAGAAGACAGGCATTCTATTTGGTTTTAGTACAGGTACCTCGCCAATGCTGGCCATTTAAATGGAGATTAGCTATTCCACGGCAATAGGAAATCATTTTATGGCATCAGAAGGCGATCTCAGGACAACAAAGGATACAATTATAGAAATTACTGAATAACGGAATGCAACATGAGCTGGACAAAGAAAGCATTTAGGATTTGAACGATTCCAGAAATGTAATGCTGCATTGTAAAATTAGATGTAGTCTGAATGTGGCCTGTGCTTGTTACAATATCACTGCAGTATATTGTAAGAAAATGTTGTTGCTAAAACCACGCAGGGTATTATTGGAATCACTATCACAAAGCTACTGAAATAAACAGATCAGCCTGTTTTAGTAAAGCCAGGACAAGTGGATTATCCTACATATTACATTTTATTGGCATTTACAGTGGTTAGTTTCGTACCGGGTATTTAAAGTAATTTATAATTGAATTTACTGTAAAACAAAACTCAAACATATTGTTACCTATTGTTTTTACTCAAATTGC